CCCTATCAGTACTAGGATAAAAAGGGAAACTGCATAGTGGGGGGAAAATAACCTTTGCATGAAATACCCTTAATACAAGTCTGATATACAAGAGAGATAGGAAATCGATACAAATCTGACCAAGAATCATTCCCCAATAGGTAGATCAAAGAATGAATAGTCTGCAATAACGAACTTTCATTAACCATAGGAAAGAATGCTTCCAAGGACTCAGAAGAAGAGTCCTTGTAAAATGTAAATCCTAACAACTCGGAGATTTCATCTTGAATTGGCAAAAGGTAATAACAGATAGCGATCGTCCTCTACTGCAGTAGGATCAGTGACTTGGTCCAATTGTTTTAGAAACCATTCAGGATGATGTAAAAACATTCACAATACCGTTCATAAGCTTTGTTTGGTGCAGTGATTTCACTATTACTGGACAAATCGCTAGTACAAGGGGATCCAAGTCAGAAAAAGCCCGCTCGGGCTACCCCAAAATTCAGAGTAGGACTTTTTGTGGTAGCTGGAAACAACGGAGGTGTCCATCACCTTGGGGGCATCTAAACAATTTGTGGAATCTGAATGTAATGGGCTACTCTTACACTATAAGAAAGGACACCTGAGAACTTTCAGAGAGCCATGAGAAGACTCATCCTAACCGATGCAGAGCCAAGTAACCAGAGCCAAGAAAATTTCCCCCCAAACCGGCTCCTACCTGTGCCTGGCACATAGCAGGTGCTTAATGTTTACTGATTACCATAACTACAATAATGGATCCAAATATAATTATAAAGGGAAGAACTTTTATTCTCCAAGTGAATCTGGTCCACTGCCATTCATGGTGGCACAAGCATAAGTCTGTTCATGGCACCACTCTTCCTCAAGAAACTCGAGTGGCTCTCTATCGCCTCCAGGATCAAATACAAAACTGCTCGCTGTTTAGCACTCAAAACCCTTCATGACCTAGCCCCCTCCTACTTTTCTAGTCTTCTTACACCTCACTCCCCTACATGTACTCTTTGATCCAGTGACACTGACCTCATGGATGTTCCATGAACAAGACACCCATCTCAGCTCCTGGCACTCTCTCTGGCTGTCCCCCAGGCCTGGAAAGTTCTCCCTCCTCCACTCCTCTACTGACCTCCCTGGCTTCCTTTAAGATCCAACTAAAATCCCACCTCCTACAGGAAGACTTCCCCAACCCCTCTTCATTCCAGTGCCTTCCCTTTGTTAATCATTTCCTATTTCTCCTGTCTAGAGCTTGTTTTGTATATATTTGTTTGTGTGTTGTCCCTTCCAGTAGACTGTAAGCTCCTTGAGGGGAGGGACTATCTTTTGCCTCTTTCTGTATCCCCAGTGCTTAGCACAGTGCCTGGCACATAGTACATTCCTAAAAAATGTCATGACTAACTTCAGGCCTGGAGAATGAGATAATGAAAAGGCCCTTGTCTCTAACTCTTTCCGAAGAAAGCTTCAGCACACGCCAGTCTCAGCCATTGCAGCCTTTAGTTATAAGGGATGTTAATTATAACAGAGAGAACATGAGCAAATGATGGTGACATCAAAACAAAAGGCCTCAATAAAACTTTAAAAATCGATTCTTTGCAGCTCAGGAACAGAAGCAAAAAAAAAAATTGATAGTAGAAGTTACTCAAGAGTGAGGCTCAGTTGGTGAAATGCTGAAAGGTGGGAAAAGAAACAGTCCCGAGGGTCATCACAGGTGGAAGTCACGTCTTGTGTGGTCAAGATCAAGTGTGGAGGGCAGAGAAGCCAGGGTGTAAGAGAGGGGTCCATAGCATGGGGGGTGGGGGGAGTCACGATGAGGGCAGACAACTTGGTCAGGAAGATTGCTAGAGGGGCCAGAACTAGGCTACAGTAGGCAAATGGGATTCTAAAATTAAGGGTCCTGGTTTGGGGAGATGGAGAAGTCGTAGGACGTGTCCATTCTCAACTATGGCTGTTGGAGGGTGCAAAAGATGCTTTGAGGAGATGTGTGGCCGGGGCAGCTAATGACACATATAATGACACTGGACATTCAGACAAAAGCTTCCCAAACAACCTCCTTCAAATCACAGTTTAGGAACACGAGCCTTTCATAGGCTGACGGTGAACAGTGTGATGCTGACAGGAATAGGGAGCCACAGCATCTCGGAGGGTACTTTAGACAGCTTCCTACAGTAACAGGTAGCACTGTTGGCCTCTGCTGGCATACTGCCAGTCCCAAGGAATTCATTCGATCGCAAAGGAGCCCTGCTGACTTTTGAACAACGTCAATCTGACTGCCAAATGAATTCCAATGACGACAACTAGGGTAGGGGTGTCATGGCCTATGACTTCACAGGCAGAAGGCGCTCTTTACCAAGGAAAGGGGGCACCTTTTTGGAAATTTCCAGTTTTTGAGAGCTGCCTGTAACTCTCAGAGGTTCACAGGTTAAGTGACTTGCCCAGACCCTTTCTGTCAACTCAAATTCGAATCTTGAGAAAGTTTTCAGCAGTCCTTGTTTCATGTCACCTAACACACTTTCCCCTATTTCCTCAAAGGCTCCTAGCTCCTACTGTGGCCACTAAGAACAGAAAAGGGTTTCTTAATTCCAGGACTGCAGACTGGCTCTTGGAATACCTGGGCTCAAAAAACACTGTGGCCTGGGAAGGGGAAAACCAAGCCATTCTCTGTGGGCCACAGATAGTGGACTCGATGTGATCAGCTGGATCACGGATAGATCAGCTAGCACGGGGTAAGGAAATTGAGGCAGGGAAGGGGATGACCAGGGCAGAGATCCAGGACATGGCAGGAACAGCGAAAGGGAAGGACTCCCAGGAGGTCAGGGGGCAGGAAGCTGTCCCCTGGACTGCTCTCTGCCTAGAAAGTGGCCAGAGTAACCACTGCACCTCCACTTGGAGCTCAGTACGAGCCTCCAAAAGGCTCCACTTGTTGCCTTTTAAATTGACCACAAGGCACATTTTCTCTTCACTGGCTCCAATGCATCTTTAATAATCTAATCCCCTGAAGTGACGAGGGCACAAGGAAGCCCAGCTCTGCTGTGGTTAAAGGGCTTGAACACCTACAAGTGTTAGAGGAATCTGAGCAATGATTTCGGAAATCACATAGTCTTTACAAAGCATCTACTCTGTAAAGACAAGAGGAGGGGGAAGGAGGGCAGAAAAGCAATACGGCCCCCACCCCTGAGGCTCACTTATGAGAAATCCATGAAACAAGCAACCAGAGACTCCAAATGCTCTCGAGGGGAGGGCTTCTTCACTTTGGGGTCACCATGGCACCCCGTGGCAACCTGTTCAGAAGCGTCTTAAATGCACAAAATAAGATACAGAAGATTAAGAAGGAAGCACATTCTATTGGAAGTTAGCCAAATATCTAATTTTTCAAACAAGGCCGCAGTCCCCAGGCTAAAAATAGGGGTTCTAGCACAACCCACCCAACCATTTTCCAGTTGAGGAACCCAAGGCCCAGACAAAAGTTATTGAGTTACTGACAGGCAGTAAAGGAAAAAAAGACAAAGGTAGGATTCCACCCTCAAGGCCGGCCTCCCCCCCCATTTATATCTGGTAAGCCTAAACATCATTGGGCACCACCAGGAGGTCACATTCATGAGTCCAGTACAGATTGCTAATCCAATCACCATCTCCTCCACCCTCCAGGATACACACCCTCCTTAAACGACTTCTCCCAGCTTCCTAAGTACATAAAAATGAAGACCTCCCAGACCAGATCCTAGCCCAGGAGTGGGGAGGCTGTGGCCTCAAGGCTGCAAATTTGTTCCCTAAAATTTGGATTCAGTCAAAAGGCTGAACTTAAGGTTCTGGAAGACCAAATGTGGCTTCAAGGCTGCAGGATCCACCCCACCCCCACCCCACCCCCATCCTAGCCCATCAGACACCCCCCAACCTACCAATCATCAGAAATTCCACCTCCCAAATCCACCTCCTTCTTTCCTCTGACACTGTCACCACCTGAGTGTAGGCCCCCCCGCCCCACCTCACATCTGGACTACTGCAAAAGCTGCTGCGTGGCAGGAGGAGGGGTGTCTGCCTGCCTCCAGTCTCTCCCACTCAGCTATCAAATTGACCTTCTTAAAGCACAGGGTTGATCATATCATTCACTCCTACTCAATAACCTCCCACGGCTCCCTAGCACCTCCAGGCCCAAATGCAAACTACCCGGTCTGGCTTCTAAAGCCCTTCACAACCTGGTCCCTTCCTACCTTTCCAGGCTTCTTATACCTTACTCCCCTCCATGTACTTAGAGACCCAGGGACACTGCCCTCCAGGTGATCCTTCTCATCTAGTGACTCAGGAACTTTTCATTGGCTATTGCTTATGCCTAGAATGCTCTCCTCCTAGTTCCACCCTCTAACTCCCAGGCTTTCTCCAGGCCTCAGCCCAAACCCCACACCTTCCACTGGAAGCCTGGCTAAGTCTCCTGGGGGCTCCCCCAACACATCCTGTCTCTCGCTTACATGTCCTCAGCTGCTTGCCTGTTGTCTCCTCCTTTAAACTTGGAGTAGGTGCCTCCTGCCTTCCTTTGGCACACAGTAAGCACCTAATAAATGCTTGCTGACTTGTCCTGACATCAGCCTCTCTATGTGTGGGCAGACAATGAGCTGTACCCAATTATACTGCAAGAGTAAAGGACCCCACTGTGTGTGTGAGAGAGTAACCCTGGGCAATGAAGGAGACCACTTGTGTTGGTGAAGGGATTGGTGAAGGGAGTGTCTTCCCCTGGGAGTTCTCCAGGCCTAGGATATCACAAAGCCAGTCCCTGTCCCCATTGTACACTGAAATTCCCATGAAAAACACCAAAGCTTCAGCAGTGTCGGGGTCCCCTGTGCATGGGGCAGCATTTTCCATGATCTCGGTGGGTCTGCACAGCTCCCACTAGCTTTGCTACCCACCAGGCCCACTGCTCCCAAGCTTCACAGCTGTGTGTTGCCCCAGGCCTGTTGTTCCTGGCCAACCCACAGTCTGCAAACTGCAGTTCACTGGCCTCTCCATCCACTCACCTTGAGAGTCAGCAGTCCAGGTTCGTCTCTGAATGATCAGTGGGTAGCATGAGGACACTGAACTCCTGGAATGAAGGGAAAGGCTGTTAGGAGGAGCTTGGCTGGATCTGGGGCCCAGCTGCACAGGGAGGTCAAAAGGCCCAAGATAAGCTTGGCCTTTTTTCAATGTTTCAGGAGAAGTATGGGAAAACAAAGTCCTTCAAAAAGTGAAGAATGACCGACTTTGGTAGCAGAAATGGCCCTTGAAGTCACGGGAGACCAGGAGTCATTTCCCTTCTGGGGTCTGTCCTGGTTCCCCTGGCCCTTCCCCGACCCTCATTCCTTTAGGGCTCTGTTTGGGGATTTGTTTGGGCCTTAGAATGGAGCTAAAGAAAATCAGTGCATCCTTGGGCCAGAGTTTCAACAATCCAAGGCATCAGCTCTCTTCCCTCCAGGTATCTCCCTCCTCCTCCTCTTATCAGGAGTTATCTTCCTCTCCTAGAGCTGCAGAGATTACCTAGAGAGGGAGCTATTTTAGCTATGTTTGGTGCCCCCTCCCCCAAAGATCAACAAATAACCCAACCCAAAGTGCCCTTCCAGAGGGCTAAAAGTCTCCTCCCCCATCCCTCCCCCATAGCAGCAAGAACAGACAACACGAGGAAGTTTACTACAGTTACCTAGGTTACCACAGCAAAAGAATGCTGGGCTTTTTCATTCATTTTTGAAGTTTCCAACTTCAAAAGTTATTTAGCATAACATTACCTATGGATGAGAACCTTCCAAGCCCAACCTTTCTCTGCCTCCCCCTCCCAGGGAGAAGTCTTTATTATGAGGGATTTCCTCATTCTTGGCCAGTCTGTACAACCCTCCTGAGGGCTTAGGTACCCTCTAGTGCACACAAAAGGGACTAGGGCCACCCAACCTAACTAAGGGCCAGAGGGGAGGAGGAATCCGAAATTGGCTCAGGAAGAAGAGAGCTCCCACGCCCAGTAGTGACTGGGGGGGCGGGGATTTCCACTGAAGACCCTCCCCAGCCAAGAGCTGCTGGGGGCTGCTTTGGTGTGCATGAAGGCTCTGGCAGGAATCTATTCATTACTGAGCGCAGACAGAGCTCAGGGAAAGGGGAGAAGTCTGCCCAAGATGGCTAAATGGATGTGGTCTTGAACAAAGCCCCCCCCCCCCCAGCAAGGCATGAGGCAGGAGCCATCCACAAGAGTGACAGAGTGACAGAGGACCGAGGGCCTTCTTCCCAGGTAATATGGAGGAGAAGGGGAATTCTGCAATGACCTAGAGACAGTGTGCTACACTTATGACCCTGCAACACACACACATACACACACATTCATAAATATAGCCTAATCTAGAGGAGGTAAGAAGGCTGAAGGAAGCCCTCTAAGCTCCAGGCTATAAAGGAAAATAAAGTTTCCCTTAAAAGACCAGAAGTATTGGGGGGGGTGGAGGGAAGGGGAATCTTTGAGGGCTTCTCCAATGCTCCCTCCCTACTGGCTGCCATCCAACCTCCTCAGGAAAGTGCTTCATGGAAGATAGGCCTCTGAACAGGTATTGTCCTAAGCTACCAACTCTGCTCTGTAAAAACCACGAAGTCAGCACGTGCTCTAAGCTTCTGCGGATACAGAGAGATGCAGCAGCCCCTGCCCTCGTAATGGGGAGATGGCATATATACAAGATACATTCAGCACAGATGGGAGGCCCCAGCAGCTGGGGAGGAGAAGCCTAGGAAAGGCCAGAGTCGGGATTTTGAGGGGGGGAGGGGCATGCCAAGCATGGGGGGGCAGCCAAGGAGACTCGTTCTGGGCCCCCTCACTGGGGAGGCACTTCTCTGGGAAACCACAATATTTCTGAATCTTTCCTTTTGTACAGTCCTCATTTTTCAAAGTGAGGATGGAGCCGCTATCACCACACATGTTGTCTTCTCCTTTTTCTCTTCGGTATTTATGTGAACTTCATGATCACCCACAGCAGACTCGGCAATGATTGCTATGTCTAGAACCCAGCATCTCCTGCCTCTTGAGAGTGAATCCATTTCAGCTTTTATGAGGTTGTTCACTCTTCACCATATGCAATATCAGCTCATTTTGGGGAGAAAGGTTGCAAATAAATGTCCCAGATAATTTATTATTAAACTCTCATGATGAAAATGGATTTTGAAAGTTAGAATGCAAATGTACAGGAAATTCCCAATTCCCCAATGAGATCTATTGCAGTTCGTGTGTGAGTCAATTGCTTTTCAATTGGAATGAGGCCTTTCCTCTCAAACACCACATTTTTGTGGAGAGGTTCCCAGGCTAGCCCACAGAAGGCTCTTTAAGCCCTAATGTTACTGAAGTATGCTGTGGAAAGAGGTAGAGAGATTTCTGCAGCCTTCATCAACTCACAAGCTCACAAAGAGACCGAATATAACAGTACTAACAATAATGGTTTACTCTTTAAGACCAAGAAACATTCAGCATGACTATGCTGAAGCCATTCATAAGCAGCTTAAGAACATCTGTCTACACACTGGGGGGAACCTTCTCTCAGCCAGACCTAACTGCTGCCCGCCTCCTCTGAGGGCCAACCAAGAGACTTCTTGAGGAAAGTATTTATGATATACGGATGTGTCCAGATGTGTCCAGATGTGAGTTTTCGAAGGAGTCCATCCCTACGCCCTTGGCTCACATTTCTGGATCCCAAACAATAATTTTCAACAGTTTCCCCAAGTCCTCTCCTTGCTCATGAAGTATTAGTTTGTAAGTATGAAGGTGCATGCTAACTTTGTTTGGAGTACCTGAATTCATCAAAGAACTCCTTTACATGATAGTGACAGGCACTAGATTTGGGGGCAGAACACCCCAGTTCAAATCCCCATGAAATCTTGGGAAATCCTTTCCCTTTCTTGGCCTCAATTCATCTTCAGTAAAAGGAAGGAGCTAGAGCTGAGAAGGGCATGTCAGGCCTCGGACTCACCAAGAGGGGAGGTTACTGAGATATTCAACTTGCCTGGCTCAGGGAAGATCAGCCTTTCAAGCCCGAGCTTGGATGGTCAAATTCTGCCTCTCCCCATTGGATTTTTGGGTGGACGCTTCATCTGGTCAGGGCCTCTGATCTGGACATTTTACAGCACCACTTGATGACCCCTAAAGGACCTTCTGACTCTGAACACTCAACAAAGCATTTAAGAGTCTACGATTTGCCAGGCCCTTTCTAGGAGCTGGAGCTGTAAAGGCAAAAATGACCCAGTCCTTGGTCTCAGGAAGCTTATACTCAAGACCCTCGGCTTATTCATCGACCCTGCAAACCATGCCTCCCTCCCTGGTCACAACCTCGTCTATCCTTGGATCGATCAGATCTGGAGAAGGCCACGTAGCTATGGTTCCCAGACTGGCCACGGGACAAGCTACAACAGTTAAGTGAGCACTCAGTCACCACGGCTGCAGAAACAGAAGCACAGGACTGAGAATCCTCTACATCAGGGGGCTGACCCCCTCCCTCAGCCCCCATCAAACAATTACATGGTGGCTAAACTACTGGGACTAAGTCTCTCTGGTCTAAGTGTGGTGGATCCTCAGAGAAGAAGCTGCTGCTTTTAGCACACCCCTGAACTCTGTTTCCCATCTCCCTGCCTTTGCACTGGCATGTCCTCCCTCCTCATCTCCACCTCTCAGAATCTCAGGGGTCCTTCCAGATCTCCACCTCCTAGCATCACTTCGCGGCTTTTTGCTTTTGTGTCCCCAGCACCTGTAGCAGAGCAGGTGTTTAATAAATGCTTCTTCAGAAGATCACAGGATTATAGATTTAGAGCTAGACAGGACCTTAAAGGTCAGGTAATTCAACCCTCTCATTTTACATTTAGGGAAACTGAGGTCCAGAGGCTAAGTGAATTGCCTACGGTCAAGTCTGCCGATGGATGATGGCTGAATTGCTCATCATCCATGACCTGCCTGCCTCCTTAGCATGGCTCTGGCCTGGGTCCTCCTTTCTCTTTTAGGGAACTTGTCAGCTCTCATGGGTTCAAGTACCATCTCTATTCAAACCTATATATACAGCCCTAATGTCTCTCCTCAACTCCACTCCTCTATCACCAGCTGGCAGCTGAACATCTTTTCCTGGACGTCCCAAGGGACACTCAAGTTCAACTCAATCCAAACCCATGTCCCAGTACTCCCCTTCATACATTCTCCATTCCAGTCACATCGTGGGGAGTTAATAAAGGCACACTGAACTGAAATTGGACTAGTAGCCATTCTGCACACTGCACCCACCACCTTCCCCTTGGCTGCCTGATAGGCCCCCCTTCCCTCCCTCCTCATCCCAGCCTCTCAGAATTCCTGTCTTTCAGTTCCAGTGCCCCGTTGGGAAGCCTTTTCCTGGGCAGTCAGTTCCTAAGTATTTGTTAAGCTCCTACTATGTGCTAAGTCTTGGGGAAACAAAAAGAGGCAAAAGCTAGTCCTTGCTCCCAGTCAAAGGGTGGGGAGGCTTAAGCAAAGCTCCAAACTAAGGGAGGAAAGCCTGGTTATCCTAGATCAGGGGTGGGGAACTTGGGGCCTCGAGGTCACACGTGGCCCTTTGACCAAGTTTGGACTCAGTCAAAAGGCTGCACCCTGTCCTAGAGGTCCATTTCAAAGAGAGGTGCTCCTCCTCCAGCACAGATCTGAAACTAATGAGGTTTCACTGTCAGAAGGGAGCCTCCCCCATAAGGCCTCCAGTGTTAGCCGACTTAAAAGAAAAAGAAAGTTAATTTGATTTGAAGAGAAGCCTCTTGCTTGCTCCAGGCACGCTCTACTTAAAAGAATTCTCATTTAGTTTAAGGAATAATTAACCATCTACTTAACAGGAAGCTAGGCATCCTCAGGCTTTGAGGACTTGAGTAGGTAGAGCTGACAAAAAACAAAACAAACAACCTACCCATGCCACACAGCCTAGCAAGAGAACAGATCCAAGAGTCCTGCCAGCTCCGTGCCACCTAACCGGTCCATCAACTTCAACGCATTTGACCCAAGATAAAGCAGCTGCCAATTGGAGGCAAAAGCAGCAAAATAAAGACTATAAACACCATGCAATCACCCCATTACCCCATTGCCCAGAG